CGGGGGACGGGCACCGCGGGCCTTGCGACGGCGGCGTGCACCTCGGCCCAGGGGACGAGGGGCGAGGAGTTGGGGGGTGGTGTCCCTGAAGCGTTCAGCGCCTCCCGCAGGCCCCGAGGTTTAGCCCCGGTGCTTCGACACCCCTTGGAACCAGGCGGGTGTGGTGGATCCCTCCCTCGGGCATCGCCACCCTGAGCAGCCGTTTGGGCCGAGGACGGGGGTGGCCCCGCCGGGTAGATGGACCCTCGGCACCCTCCCTGCCAAGCCGTCCCTGGAGGCAGGCGAGGTGGTTGACAAGGTTGGGAGGTCGTGCGATGTGAAAATGGGGCAGAAGTGACATGAAAGTCGGTGTCTCCGCTTGTGTAGCTCAGACCTTCGGGTTAACTTGCTTGACTTTGATGTATTTGCCTGTTTTTCCAGGGTGAGCCGTACCTTTCCTTACTGGAGTGGCAATCCAAGCTCCAGCTCTTGGTTGATACTGCAGAGCTTGGGCCTGCAGTTTGCAAAGAGCGTGTGAGAGGCTTTGGGTCAGTGTGGAGGCTGTTCAGTCTTGGTGCAGGGGTTTGTGACAGCTGTGGGATCAGCCGGTCTTTCTGACCCTATAAACCGCTGATTAGAGCTAGTGTGTGGTCAGGAGTGCCAGGGTGGGCAGAGCTAAGGCCAGGCAGAGCTTGCAGAGTTGTTGACAGGTGGGAGGCAACCATGTCTCCTTCATGTCCCCATCCCCACGGACTGGTTCAGGCTGCATGTGCAGCTTGAGATCCCAGAGGACAGATGTCCCTGGTTTCTCTGGCATGCTTTCTTCCAAGGCTGGGGATTTGAGTTGTTGGGCAGTCCAGTGGTTTCTGAAGCTCTACAGCCTTTCATATCGTGTGTGCCCACTTGAGTAGTTTGAGAGGTGCAGGTACTCAAGAGCCACTGGTTGATTGCTCTGATGTCATCCATGGTGCCAGTTTTTAATGTGGTAGGACCACATGACATGTCTGCAGAACCAGCCTGAGGCAGCCTGTTAAAACTCTATGCAATACACACACACCTGCAGAGGTGACTCTTGTCACTGTTGGCCTGGTTCAAACAGCCATTTTGTGTCCATTACCAGTTTTAAATGATCTTTCCCCCTCCTCTCCCCTGACTGTTTTTTGAACGTGAGTGCAGTGTGCAGTAGTCATAATATAAATCAGATGCCATTGTTCAAGTAATTGTGACATTCAGCCTGCAAGTTGATCTGTGTTCACAATACTTTAATCACAGTGGCTTTGATTACAAGGAATGAGATTCTTTTCTGGATGGTGAGGAAAAAGCTGTGGTCTCTTTTTGAACTGGCTTTTTAATCCTAGTTATTGCTATCTAATATGATCAATATGTATTGATCGTGATGTGATCACAGTGTGAGTGGTTGATGAGCTTTATGCTTAGCTTTCTAAGGCAGAGATTTTATGTGTCAATATCTGGTTTTGAGTTTGTTTGCTCAGCCCTTCTTCACTACGGTACAGTCAGTAATCAGGAATGCTCTTACTCCTGTTTCTCTTTACCCTCCCCTTTCTGTTCTCTTCTCCCCAGAATGAATGAAATGAACTTGAGTCCTGTAGGGATGGACCAGCTGACCTCATCCTCTGTGAGCAATGCCCTGCCCATCTCAGGGAGTCACTTGGGATTGGCAGCATCACCCACACACAACACCATACCAGCACCAGGTAATGGGGAAAGTTCCCACAAAGGCTATTGCAGCTCATGCTTTGTGTTTTACTGTCACAGGAATGTTCATAACTGGGTAGCAGTGCTGGCTTTGATAGCAAGTCATGTCTTTAGCAGGTAATGAGGTGATGTAGAATTGGGGAAGGATAGACCATAAACCATTGCTTATGCGGGCAGAGCAGAAGGCATGTGTGCTTACCAGGCTTACGTTAATGGGAGTCCTATTTTGTTCTAATGGGTTTTTGTTCCACTGATTTGCAGTGGGTGGCAGCAGAATCCTTTGAAATAGGAACTTCAGCTGCAAGTCCACCTCCATCTATGTGTATCTTCACTCAGGTGAAAATAATGAGTTTTTGCCTGTAACGCAAAACGGTTTTCCTAGGGTTTTTTTGTAAGGGAACTACACAGACAAAAGTCCATTACAATTGTAAAGTAGAAGCTGGCACTACATAACGTATCCAAAAAAAGATCTAGTCACATTTAGGCATGCCTCTCAGTGCTGCGATAACTGTGATCCTTTCTTTGAAGCTTGACATCTTACTTTGACAGTACAGTACTGTACTTCCATAGGGAGCTCCCGAGGAATTATTAACCTCTTTGTTTTGTGTGTTCATAAGCTCAGGTAGCTCCACTGAATTTAAATGGGCATTTTCTTTTGCAGGCTTGCCTGTTGCAATTCCAAACTTGGGACCCTCCTTGAGTTCCTTGCCCTCTGCTCTGTCTCTGATGCTCCCAATGGGTATTGGGGATCGAGGAGTGATGTGTGGTATACCAGAGAGAAACTACACCCTACCTCCGCCACCATACCCTCACCTGGAGAGCAGCTATTTCAGACACATTCTACCTGGTAAGTGGTCTGGTGCTGATGGATGGGAACAGAGAGAGAAATTGTTTTAAGGGCCACCTGTTTCTGTCCTGAAGCAGGCAAAACTGACTGTTTTGCAGAGCTGTAAATTCCCTGAGTTTGTCTGGAGTCTGTTGTGTTATTTACACACTTTTATTTTCAGATCTCTGTTGCTATATATGTCTACTAAGAGAACTGCAGGGCATTTTCTACTTAAACCAAGCCTCTGATCCCTCCTCCTACTGCTTTGTTTTTAAGATTAACAGAAAACAAAGCATGCCCTGGTTTCTATGTCAAATGGCTTGTAGTTTGAAAACTGCTTTTTTTTTTTATCTCCTGTAGTCTGAAGCAGTACTTAATATGTACATAATTGTAGGTTACAGTAGTTCAGAGCTCAAAAAAAGTAAGCCATCAGCTGAGGAGTTTGGGCTCTTTCCCCCCCATTGAGCCCATGGCATAGTGTTTCATCAGTTTTGTTCAAGGTTGATTTCCAAAGGCCTAACATACCAATTTCTATCTTGATTCCTCTCTTGCATGTGTGTTAGAATATAAATGTAGAATTTGACATGTTAGTATATGATGACATAGAAATCTGAGCTTTAAATACAGTCCTTTTTTTGTTTTGTAGCTAAGATTAACAGGGTAGAAGTGGGTAGATAAACTTCTTCAAGGTCAGCTAGTGAGTGTTGCTGGTTCAGCCTAGGTTAGGAGAAGAATCAGCTCTCATCCAACTACATTTTGACTACTGGCTGAACTTTCCAACTACTTAGGAGTAACCTTTCCTACTGCATTACATGCCTGTCCATTTTGAGGGCAAAGAGTAGAGGAGGAGACAGTGCATTTGAGAACCAAAAGTATTTGCCATTCTTCTGAGCTGTAATAATTTATGCAGCAGTGTATTTTTCTCTTTCTAGTTGCATGATGTTTAGTCTGATGTTTCATAGGGTTTTTCTGTCAGTCATCTTACTGCCTTCAAGGATCCTCCTTGTACAAGCCACAAGGCAGGATTACATGTGGAAATGTGGTGTTAGATGGTTAAATTTAACTGTTTGTTTCTTGGTTTAGGCATTTTTAATAGGGTGATGCTGCAAAAAGAGTGTCTGTATTTGCCTCTATGTAATTACAGACATGTTTGAATGGAAAACTTTTACAGAACAAATGGCTCTTAGGGTTCAAGGTCAAAAAGAAACATTCTAACTCAGATCTTGCAGAATCTGCAAAAATTTGTCTCAGTCTCTGCTGGAAGTACTCTTTACTAGAATGTGCAATGTTTTTCCTCCAAAGATTTTTCTTAGCTTTGTCCAACAAGAGAAGTTGGTAGTATGTAAATACAGGTTAGTGTTTCTTTGTATCTTAAGTTCCAAGGTTGTTTGATGTTGAGAAGCTTCCCAGAACTACCAGAAAAGATGCTGAGAGTTTCTGATTTAAATTAACCTGGGCTCTTGTTTTAGGAGAAACAACATACTTTTCATGTAAGGAAAGACATCAGATGATTCATGATACTTTAGAGAGACCTTATCTTTGTTCTTCAGAATAGCAGTTGGTGATCTTGGAGATGGACAGTTGTGTCACTTAGTCTTAGATGAAGGAAGCAGTCATTGTTAAAGCTTAAATACCTAAGCAAAAAGGATGTATCCTTGAGAACCGTTTCTACTTCTCCTAGCAAAGATGAACCAGGGATTATCAAATACTAGATTCCACTAGCAGTCCTTTATCCTTTGTCAGCTATTTCTTGAGAAGGAAAAATTATGCCTAACGTGAAAAACTTCTTTCTGATTTAGTCTTTGTACTGAGGAGCCTAGCTTAAATGCTGCTGGAAATTTGACTGTTCAGAGTTTGACAAATAACTAGAGACTTGCTCAGTGGAATGGAAGCTCCGTATTTGCTGTCAAATGATAGTTTCACAAGAGTGTTGCATTGGCATATGTTTGTGAGCTGTGTTTCAGAATTAGTGGGGTTTTTTTGGACGTAATGTAAAGAACATATCTTCAAGGATTTACATCTTTACTGTGCTGCCATGATGGGGTATTTTTGTTCAAGATTTGAAAATTGATACCATCTCACTCTCTTTTCTTTCTCCCTCTCATTCTATCAGGTATCTTATCTTACTTGGCTGACAGACCTCCACCTCAGTACATCCATCCCAACACTATAAATGTTGATAGCAATCCGACATTGTCAGTCTCCAGCAATCCTTCAGCCCTAGATACCTATCAGCCCAGTGGAACCGTGGGACTGGAACCAGGGATTGTCTCCATGAACTCCCGCACAGTGAACACCCATGGTGCCCAAAACCTGCATCCTAGTGACAGCCACGAGGTAGCACTGGATACTACAATCACTATGGAGAGTGTTTCAAGGGTAACCAGCCCTATCTCTGCAGATGGTATGACAGAGGAGCTTACGATGGATGATGTAGCCAGGGATCATTCACAGATTCCAAATGGCTCCCAGAGCCATGAACCTTTAGCCATAGACACGGTGGGGAGTAACTTGACATCGGACGCTGTGGGACACAGCAGTGTCATTCCCATTCATGGTAGCACTTTGGAACTCCCCGTTGTCATGGAGCCCAACCACATCACTGGGCGGGTGACAGGAATATCGGACAGCACACTAAATGACTCCATTCATACTGTGGCCATGAGCACCAGCTCTGTGAGTGTGGCGCTCTCTACCTCACACAACCTAGCTTCCCTGGACTCAGTAGCCTTGCACGAAGTGGGCCTCAGCCTCGAGCCTGTGGCGGTGTCTTCCATAAATCAGGAAGTAGCCATGGGGCCAAGTCATGTGGATGTGTCTGCAGACAATCTTGCCTTCGTACCATCCTCTCTGCAAATGGAAGACTCCAACTCGAACAAGGAGAACATGGCAACCTTGTTTACTATATGTGAGTGGGCTTTTCCTGCTTTCTTGGGGTAGGGTTTGTTATGTAGTTGTTGTCTGGTGGGATAACAGAACTCTTGTTGCTAGTCTTACAGATTTTTGCTGAAAGAAATTTAGTTATTTAACAAGTCCACAAAAGTTGAAACATCTGCAGTGGCAGATTAACTCTGCTGAAATGACACTAGTTGGAAGTAGTCATAATAGGAGATATTTTAGCATCAATTCTCTTTGTATTCATCTCCCACGTTGCCTTGAGGTTGGAAGCTGAGTTCTTTATGAACCTCTTGGATATGCTGATATTATCCTTTGCAATGAGACTTTTGTTTTTTAAAGTCACATCACAAATGACTCTTCTTGCTCCGTTAAAAAGCCCACAAACAAACACCACCACAAGCCATATATTTCATCAAGTGAGTATAGTTGTTGAGTATGATGTTATGTGATTTTGCAAAATTTTTATTAAACCATGAACAATCATCATGAAAATGTTCTCAACAAGACCTGCTGGAAAAAAGAGCAGAGAGGGAAAGTTTTTAATATTTGTAATTATTCTCATCAAAGGACTTCAGTCCAGAGATTAGTTGATCTCCTAGGAGGAGAGGAGCACTGCTCTCTCAATTCTGTCATCGTTCAAGGAGTGGTGTTTGAGAACTGTGAAGTTCTCTTTTTGCTGGGACAGAGATTTGAACTTCCACCCACAGCATGTCTGGTTTCCCACCCCTGAAGCGTAAGGCCAGCTTTTATATTTGCATTTTATTAGTTGTGGTAGCATTGCTGAGCACTGCTTTTGCATGCAATCAGGTCCTACAACTGCCAGAGCCTTATGACAAGCCTTACCTGCAGAACATTTTTTAAGAAATGGAAAGAAATAGTACCTTGGTTAGCAGTGATAGAGGGGCTGTTTAGTGCAAAGTCTATAGTCAGACATTTGAATTAGACATTTGAATTAAAACTTTTATTCTGTGGGATAAAATATAACTTAAAATTATGTGAGTGTAGAACAGTGATGAATTTACAGCTCCTAGAGGAAAAGTTTTACAGCTCATGCACAGCATCTGTTGCATGTTGGAAGAAATAATGATGATATCCAGCATGCTGGTGGTGAGATTGTATGTCTTATTCACCTGAGTGAGATCTGATGTGCCAGTTTATTGTCACTACACTTAAAATAGACCTAAGGGGTTTCCCAGATTGGGAAGTAATGGTTTCCCATTGGTAGTATGCTGTAACGGCTGTTGCATGCCCAGTGCTTTCATGTGATTTGCAAAATACATCTTTGACTTGGGAAGGTTTAAATTTTAACTTTTTTTATTGTTCTTTTTAAACTTCTCCTGAATAAAACATGAATTTGTGTCCAGACAGGTGACAGCAAGGAGGAGTTGTTTTAGAGCCTCTCAGTGGTTTTTCCTTACTGCAAAGGCAGGAGTCAGGGCCTTTTTCAGAAAACTTTGTACACTGTTCCTAAGTGGGAAGAAATGTGTACCTTTGCTACAATCCTTAATGTTTGCAAACCCTTAAGTAGCCCTTTTTTTGGTCATCTTTCTTACAGTTCTACGTACCCACATCAAAGAAGTAATCACTGTGATTTTTTTTTTTTCCATTATTTGGCAAGGACAGAAAGGGAAAGGAAATGGTATATTTCGCTTCCTGTAGAATGTAGGATTTTTTTTTTAACTTCTTAAAAATGTATGAATCCCTAAACCTTTCCAAGTGGAAGTGTCACATGCCTAGAACTTGCTTTTCTTCCTCTTTGCCTCTCCTTGGGGCTAGACCCATAGTGGTCTGTGCTAGGCAATGCTTAAAAACAACTGTTCCAAATAGTGTTTCTCATTACTCAGGTCTGGTTGTTGTCACTGTACATGTCATCTGTGCACATGAACAATGCTTATATAGGCTCTACCTAATAATTTTCTAAGTGCTTTCCTATCTGTAATTGTATAGTTGCTCAAACTGTACTTTGTATGGGGTTAGATTATGGTACCCTGATGTGTGAAGAGAGCATCCCAAAAATCTCTTTAAACAAGTAATAATGGAGCTGCTGTTTATGCCTGCTGAAGACTACGTCTGTAGTAGGTCTTTTGTGCTGGAGTTGGGCCATCAAGAGGCCAAAGAAGGTCTTTGTGGAGATCCTGTTTAATTTTGCTGAGCATCTTTCTTCAGAAGAATAATTTATATCAGGAGGGAGGTTGCTGAGTAGGTGTTGGTTGCTCCATTCATAGAGAATAAAAATTACATAGTTTTTCTAGATTAGAGCATTTTATGCTGTACTTTTTCCCAAATTTATTAGACCAAATACTTTCAGTAGTTTATTTTTCAGCAGTACATATGCTGAATGACAGATTGGTTGTGTTGCTACTGATTCTTCTCTTTTTGTTCCATTCAGTGCATACCATAGAGATGTACTGTATGAGTTTATTGCAGTGAGTCCTTCAAAAGCAGCAATGAGGTCAGGTTTTTTTGCCATGAAGATTTGCACATTGTCTGAATTTAAATGGAGATAAGGCAATTTGTGGGTTCAAATTAGAAAAATTTTAGAAAGAAGACCTTACTGTCCCTTTGCATCAATATCCTTGAGGTTCTACATGCAAGATGACTCTTGTGTTCCTGGTAAAATCCAAACCATAATGAGTTAGAAAGTGTTTGGTTTGGTAGGCTTGGACTTTTCTGCCAATAAAGGTAATTTCACCTGTGATCAGAGAGAAAATAGCTCTTCTGCCATCAGCGTTACTGCCAGCTC